AAGGAAGCAAGGAAGCAAGGAAGCAAGGAAGCAAGGAAGAAAGAAGTGAAAGGAGGGCGGAAGGATGGAATTAGAATGGTAAGGAGTTAGGAAGGCTCTAGGAAGAATATAGAAGAAAAACAACCTAACAAATGAGTTTTTATCTATTTACCTGAAGACGAGAAATATGGTCAAAGCGATGCCAGCGATGACAACAACCATAGCTATCGAAATAGCTAATTTCAAATTCTTGCTTGACGTTCCTTTTCTAGCATGGGCAAGTGGCTTGTCATGATTATAAGCAAGGTTAATGTTATAACCAGCTAAAGTATGGTCATGTTTGAACATACTGTAGATGATTCCTTTGGAGATTGGACTCTGAGAATCCTCGTCTAGTACTATGAATTGCAGTATAAAGCTTTGTCCCTTGGATRCTTTTGGGTAGTTATCCACTATTATGATGTCCTCGACATCAAATTTACTAGAAGAAAGAAATTGTGTCTTAGTATTTGACAAAAAGATAACAAAATGGCATTTGGGTTTACAATATTTAGACCAGTATCCGTCGTGGATATCAGATCATTTAAAGTAAAGTTTTTAAAGGACATTTTGCAAGCCAAATGATACTGCACATTTCGACGTACGTCAGTCTCTTGGCGTTTTCAACTTTATTATTAGCTTATTTAAAGCGTATTCGAAAACAACATCGATGACACTGAAACAAAGAAAACTAAAATCTTTAAATGGCTCATCAAGGGTCAGAAAGTCTCTTTTCGTTCTTTTTTTTATTATTTCATTGATTGGACTAATTCGACGATACGGCGACCATCTTACCAGGCGACAACCAAAACAAAGATGATGAAAAATATGTGGGATTTTGTGTGTTTGTCTTTCTTTTATTGGTAAAGGTATCGTTGTGCCGTGTTCATTCATATTTGCTGTAATTTTTTTGTGGCGAGTTGTTAATATCAATCGACGTCATTACTGCAACAAATCTTTATTTGGATGCCCCATAATGCCTTGTGATCCAAGATGGCCGCCGATTCGTTGAAGTAGTCCATTCATCTTACATTACATGTAATTCAATGTCTGACCCCCACCCATTGAAATTCCATATAATTATATTCCATATAATGTCCTAGTTTCTAAAAGTAAGCAAAGACAACAATATAAAAACATTAACAATTAAGAACTTATATCAATAATTATCAAATTATAAACAATAAAATCATTAAAAAAACAATTAAGCACCTGTGAGATGCACACGTTTGATTTTGACAGTAGATATTCAGCTGATTAGCCAAAGACTTTTTGAATTCGCCAGCATTCCACTAAGAAAGCAAAAAATATTGAGACACAAACAAAAATGAAGCATAAATCATGGGTATCGTATAAGCGCTGACCACACAAGGTAATGACGATGACGACACCAATAGACCTCTTCGGCCCTGACGTACTGTTTTCCCATTTCAGACCACATGTCATTCCCTAGAGTATCATTTCTTTGTTTAAGGTTTGCGCTCGGTTGCACATGAGAAGACACATGAATATGGATACAGCTCAAACAAAGAATCTTATTCTCAAGGGAATGACACGGTCTGATTGAGATGGGAAAACATTATCCCAAGCCGAAAAGGTCTATTCAATACTATCTACCTCAAGCGCGAGGTCTGGAAATGTCATATTGACGTCTTGACAGCAGCAGCGCAATTGGGGTGTCAAGCTCTTTGAATGATCTTGGATTCGCTTTTCCATATGACGATAAAAAAGCAATCCTCTTTGATTAGAATAATTTTTTCTTGGTTAAAATGATATTTGCCGCTAAACTTCATACCTGGCTCAAAGACCGGTTTAACACCTGAACGTCAATTACATTACGTCCTGTGAAAAATCAAAAGATATAATTATTAATACTGAGCTAGATAATTATATTTTTGTGACATCATGGCGGAAATGGTGTAAATTTTAAAAAAATGATTTATATAGTGCCCTTTTACAGGTTAGTAATGTTGAAGTACGGAGATACGGGAGCACCATTTAAAGTGGTTATCCGAGCAATTTGAAAGACTAGCCATTTGTAGATGCAATTACAAAGGCAGCACTTTTTTTCCTCAGTTATCTTAAGACCCTGACTTTTGGTCCTGCCCGGATTCGAACCACGACCTCCCGATGCTAAACCAACTGAGCCAACCGGCTGGAGATAAACACAATCAACTTAATTCACTTATTTAAAAAAATGAGAAAAAGACAATGTTTGTAATATGCGAGTGAATGAACCTGATTAATAGAATCTAATTTTTCCATTAAACACAGAAGGAAAACAAAAACTGCATTGACACGAGCAAGGTTTCCTTGACAAGGTTTATTTGGTCGTGTAGATGAGAAAAAGTTTTTTCTTTATCAAGTCAAGGAAAACTTGTCGAGGCAACTAACTTACAATTGACTCCTAACTTGCTCTCGTAGACAAAGAACAAGGTAAACTTGCAAATGAATATGTATGAGTTTCGTTCCGAGTACTTTTGCGGATATTCCAAAATGGCGGCGAAGAGGAACGACTAAACGACCTATTTTTGTGGAACACAAAATTTGATACATACAAAAATAGAAATATGAAAAAAAAATAGTGAGAAATACTAGTCCACATTCAATCATTCTCACCCTTTATTTTAGTCTGATTAGCAGGCAATTATTTTTTGACTTAAGGGGAATTTGGATCGAGTTTCTCGGTATTCTGCTGTACAAAATATATTATGGCACACTTACACGCGCAAGGAAAACTTGTTCATAGTCTACACGAGCAAAGAATACTTGTTATTTAAAATTGTCAAGGAAAAAAATTTCAAGGAAAATTTGTTGATCCACCTAGACGATCAAAGACTCTTGTGAAGGAAAACGTGCTCGTATAAATGCGGCTTAAGGTGTTTTTCTTACCAAGGAAAGCATCACACCATATGACGTCAGTGTGTTCTAAAGAACATACACATATACCTCCATACTTAACAGTCTTTTGGCAGCTATGACATCTGGCATTGCACTTCTTGGAAACTGTAAAGTAACAATGGTTGACTTTTAGAAGCCACGAAAAAAGAAAATGAATTATTGTACTTTTTTAGAGTTGCTTGTTGGTTTTTTACTGCGCTTTAAGGGTTGTCTCTGGTTTCTCCGGTTTTCCTCTTTGATCATGGTACGAGGGCCACAGGTTTGTTAGCCACTGGCTATTAGTTAAGCGCTTTCCTTGCAAAAACATGGACTTTTTTTTTCTTTGTGCGCTTATGTTTCGGAATTTTGTTGAATCATGAATAATCCATTCATCCACTGATTAAATCGTTTTTTCCTTTTCGTGTCGTTTTTCCCTTCGTGCGTATGCGCAAGCGCTCTTCTGCATTGCACAATTATCATTTCGTGGATATTAAAGCAAATATATTTATATAACATTTATATAACTTTTAAAGCAACCACAGCTATCTTACTTGGATGTGTGCACGCCACTCGAGCGTAAGAAGAACGAGAACAGCTTTTTGAGTAAGGCATTATTATATTAAAGCTACAAATTCCCAAAGATGGTTCGTCGCCTTTGCATTGAAATCCTTTTAATAAAGGATTTGAAATATTATTAGGAACCACAATGCTTGTCAACTTTATAGAACCAGCTTTTGAATATCCCATTTGTCTGCAGACCACTTTGGCATCGTTCATGTTCCAGCCATCGTTACATATTGTACCCCAGGTACCAAGGTACTTGATTTCTATTATGCCTTCACTTTTGGATTTTGACCCAACTAATCGTAGATCTGTGGATAGATGTTTTAGAAATACACCAATTCAGACCAAAAAAACAAATAAATACCAAAGGATGTGCGTAATTTACGACGCTGGGAAAAATATTACTTAAAAGCTTTGCTCCCTCCATAAACACCCTACATGCATGTAACGTTATTACTTTCATTGCAAAAACTTGGTAGGAGTTAGAATGCATAAGTAACGCAAACAGGATAACTTAGTATCAGTACATAATAGGATTTACTAAGGAAAAGTCACGCCTACCGAAGCATTCTGCACCAGCATCTCTTTCATGAGGATTCTGATACCACTGCCTGGATTGTGATTTTTGAATCTGATGTTGCGTTAGGTTACATTTCCATAAGGCACTCTCGTTGCCACGACAAGAGACTCTAGATATCCATATGGGACCTTTTCCAAGCCCATAATGACCTCTATTATAAACTCCAGAAGCTCCAGCCCAGCCAAGTTGCCTACAGAAGACATTAGCATCAAATATGTCCCATCCGAGATCACTAATAGTACCCCATACGCCAGCGATTTTAACCTCTACGCGACCTTCGTAGTCATTGGAAGAGCCAACGAGACGCACTGTGAATAGTTGAAAAACATCATTTCAGTGAATCATTTTGAAGTACAAGAAAAATCCAAAAATATAAATAAATAGGCCACATTTAAGAATAAGGCAACAATTATTTGTCCAGAGGGAAAGATGTTTTCAAAAAATTCACCAGGGCTGTAATTTTGAATTCTATGACAACTAAAAATTGTACCTTTGTTGCAAGATAAATAAGAGTTATAATTAATTTCCTGGCCTTGTAAAGTTAAGAAGAATACATGAAATAGTTGAGGGCCAAAGGAATTTGGAGAACATATACCTTCTCTGAGGGTATCTTTAGTTCGGCAAATAAGGCCAACATCTGAACTGTGAACACAGTGCGTAATTCCCCATCCTTTGTGGGCACACTTGGTAATATCCGGTTCCCTACCCTCGCAGTTAAGATTGTCCAACCAGATTCTACCCCTGCCAGGGTCAAACATCGTGCAGCATGGCAGTACCATTTCAACATCTAAGAACCCAAGCTGTCTACACGCCACTCTTCCAGAAGAAATGGGGAATTTATTTCCGCAGATCGTACCCCATTTGCCCTTGTAAAATACTTCGATCCGTCCAGCAGAAAGTACACTTCCATTACGTCCCACGAGACGAATAGCTTGAGAAAAGCGACAATCAAGAAATTAAATTAAGGTATGTAAAGTTGAAATTACTATATATACCGCGACGCACAAAAATGACCATATTTATGCGAATACATTATCGTCACTAGATGAGTTTGGCGTCAGGTACTTGTTCGGTGGGATGATAGGTGCCTGAAACAAAGTCACGGTAACTATGGCAAACATCTCGCAATCCTACCGTGCACCTGTTATACTGACGGTCTTGTCAGGGGGATACTTACCAATATATACCTACCATAGGGAAGAGAGGGCGGTAAAATCCAACTATAGCGTTTAGCGTGCGGTTGGTAGAAGCTAGCGATAGCAATTATCGATATGGATAATTATGGTTAGCGTGTGATCGAGTTGACCCATTAGCAATCAATAGCGTTGATCGTTAGCGCGATCAATTAGCTCGGACCTGCTGATGACCAAAGATAATGCTAGCGTCATCAACAGAACAGTGTGATGGGGTGCGTTCTGCGTACATAGGTGACCAGCAGGCAGACAACGAAAAGGAAAAGGCGGCAATAGGCCGTTTGCATGATGGCGTCATTTTACTACCACTACCAAAGTGCTTCGCGAATTTTCTTCGTATTTCCTCATGAGAATAGTAAGACAATTGGTGCTAATTAACTGAACAAAAGAAAGCGTGCAAGGGAGTCTCAGTAGTAGAGGGTAATGACGCTATAATGCAGTGACCTATTCTAGATAATTCGCTGCCACTCATATCGGGTTTATCTTTGCCTAAACTCCATTTAATTAACCACATTAAATGACGCTACGTATTCGTGTGTTTCAAGACAACAGAAGCCGGCCGATGGTAGCCATTTTACCGCCTTTTTCACAGAGACTCCATTTTAATAGTTATAAGGTTATCGGAAGCCAAGGTTACAATGATGAAAAGTGAAAGTGAACCGTGGTTGTCTATAAACTCCGCATTAAAACAAGGCCTTGGAAATAACTGATATTCAAACAACACTGAGGTAAAAAGGATACTCCTAACGTTTTTTTAGATACAATGACCCTAAATCAGTCCAGGTCTGGACCATGATCTTGAGAAATAGAGGTCACGCCGTCACGTTATATGCGCAGAACAAATGTGCACAAAACAATGCACGCGAACGTCCTTAGAAATAGACCATTTTCGAGTTCCAAATTACCGCTGTGTTTCTTGATTACAGATTCATTTGCTCAGGCACTTAGCCTCGAATCAGTGTCTAAATATTCACAAATACCAACGGTAAAGTAAAGAATGCACAACTTCAACAATACGAACACTTTGGAACTTGACGGACCTTGACTAGAACACGTGAATATTCTTCACAAAATCGAGGCTAAGCCTGATCAAATGAGTCTGTAATCAAGAAATACAGCGATAATTTGGAACTCGAAAATGGTCTATTGCTTGCCGGCCACCGCATTATTATGTTATCGTCTTTAATTATATCCTTACAGTGAGAATTATTCTTTGGATTTTCTGGTTTAGGTTTTGCATTGGCAGGAACTAGTTGGCATGCTGTTTTAAGAGTCTGGATATCATCGATAGCTATGTCTCCGGAGTAACTTGTACCCGCTACTCCTTCAAATATAACCTAAGCAAAAACACAGTAATGTTATACATTTATTCCAATATATAAAAGTCAGAAATTTAGTGGACTTAATTTGGTTGCAGCAGGGCAAAAACTCAACACACAATAAGTTGCAATAATCGTACCAAGGGTTTTCTCCAACGATCGATTCCGGACCTCACATCCCCTCACATCTAGTTGCTATATATAGACTGTTTTTCAGCTAACATTTATGAGCCATTTTAAACATAAAACAAAATCGTAAACAAGTCCTTATTAAGGCTACGACTAAAGAGCATGKGATAATGTTATTCTTCAAGGGTTTTTATGGGCCTCCTTAAGCTAAAATCTATATTTCATTATCAGTTATTTATGCAATAATTCAAGGATTATTACATAGMCTTGGTCGCCCTATGTGAAATTCTGTTTATTTTGCAAAAAAACATCTGTCATYGCTATAACGTTTGTAGTGCAAACACAACTTTTTGCCCACCAAATTTTGCGTCAATTCAGCCTACAAACTTCAAAAGTATCACCGAGTTGCTTTGGAGGCCTAAAATGTTTTGTCAAGCGCAATGTTTTTTTTTTTAATTAATTGATTTGATTGACGTGTGTGGTCATAGAAATATTTAAAATGTATCAAGTGCAMACGCAATGAGCAAAACAAAAAATTCGAGGATAAAAAGGTTTTACAAAAGACAATCCATGTTTTTGGTTCTAGTGCGAAGAGGCCCTTCACTAACCTTAAATGATTTCAAGCCATTGATTGGTATGGCAGCGAGGTTCCAGATTTTAGAGATCTCTCCTATTTGTTGCCAAACCATTTTCTTCTCTGAGCCATTATCCAAGTACACATTCAGTTCACCAGTAGTTTCACCCTTCATATGATAGTAAAACTTTATACAACTGGCACCTGTGATCGTTGGACTTTCGATGCGCGCTGCTTCACCTTGAACTCTTGGAGAAGAGGTTTCGATGTAGATATATTGACCTAAAATAGCAGTATAATTATTATCTGACTCAACAAAATAAAACCTGATTAGAACTTGAAATGCATATTAATATAGGAAATAACAGTCCTCAAAATTTAGCTCACCCACTCCTGTAGTATGATCATGGGCAGGACCAGTACTGAAAGATGGTGTGCTGTCCTGGTGTCTCGTCCAGTCAAAGTCATCATCATCAGCGTTAGTATATCCACAAAGATTCGCATCAAAAGGGCAACTTCCAGGAGAGGCAACATCTAGACATGGAAGCAAAATTTCTCATTTCATATTAATTATTACGATCAGAATAGTCGGACTGTTTGCATAGAACTTTTCTATGAGAGAGGATGCATGGGAAATTATGATCATGCCCGTATGTATGGTGCCGTTTGCACAAAAAAGACAGAATGCATCCACTTCTATCGAACTCAGAAAGGGCATGTTTGTTTTAAAAAGACCAGCAACATAAAAATTGATGAATGTACAAATTTCAAAATTATCGTGGATGCAAGGCTAATTTGGATGGAATTTGTGGCATTTCTTTTGTATTCCTATGTTATCCTCGCATCCAAGATAATTTTGAGAAGGGTCCAWTTGATAACTCACGTGTACTAGAATGAACACAGGCAACCCCTAGATCTGCGTCGTACCGGTCACAGTAATAATCACGTTCACCCCACGGACTATGCTGACAACTTGTGAGTCTGGACTCGTTCCCCTTGCACCGAACATCATGAAGCCAAATGGTACTATTGCTTTTCCCAAAAGCAGAATTCGTRTACATGACGATAGCATCAGAATATCCTAACTGATGACAAACAACTGTCCCAATATGTTTTTCGTTTTGATCATCACAGATTGTGCCCCAGACKCCATTGTGAAATATCTCTATTCGTCCTTGCCATTTGTCAGTAGACCCAACAAGTCGAACGTCATTGGGGCCAGGTTTTGGTGTCGTAGGTCTTTTACTTGGTACTGTAAGAAATACGTGTCATGAAGAATCATACAAAATGGAATTTTGATGGGCGGGAGACATTCGAAGATTCATAAACTAGGGTTTATATCTAATAATACCTTTTTCCGGGCTTTTTCCGCCTCATTAAATACTGCCTAAACTTTATTGTTCACTACTCAGTGTTTAGCTTCATTCTATCAAAAGGTTTTTTTGACTTGTCTTAATATCAAACAATTTGATATATCTGTTAAGCTCAGTTTTTCTCTTCCTTACCTGCTGTTGGTCTGTGGGATTTGACAGTCCTTGGTACAATCGTTGGAACTGAAAATTATACAAGACTATTGATATTTGAAAACATGATAACTCAACACAWGTAGATAACGACACAAATTTAAGAAAGATAAGAGTTTAAATGAGGAAAGTAAGAATATAAAACATTAATACTGAAACTAGGATTGTGCCCAAAAGCTTTGTCCACMTCACCAAATGCTGCCTCCACTTTATCGTTTTGATATATAAGGAATGAAGATTATTTATTCGTACTTTTCACTCACCTTGGCCAGCGCAAATCACTTGAGCATCTGTTAAATGTGTACACGTATGAGCTACAGACGAAAGGTGTTGAAAACCACACAAACCAATAGATGGCTCATCCCCTTTACACTTTAATCTTGTTACAAGAGGATTTATACCAGCCGATGGAGTAACAGAATATCCTAATCTCAACGATACAGCTCTCGAGTATCTCATCTGTCTGCAAACCACTTTGGCATCGTTAATATCCCAGCCATCGTTGCATATTGTACCCCAAGTACCAAGGTACTTGATTTGTACAATACCTTCACCCGGCTGTCTTCCATTGGTTAAGCGGAGATCTGTTAGGAAGTTGCAGCATTATTAGTGGGAATTAGCGGCTTATCTCTAGCCAGGACTTACCTTAGRCATGGAATGATATTCCGTAATATTCTTCATATTAAAGGGGCACTTTAATAAGTCAACAAATCATTGGCTGACGAAAATTAATCGTAAAAGTTTGGTCCTTTCATTTCGAATTTCAGAAAGATATTTCAGCTATGGGTGATTATTAATGCATCAAAGATTATTAGAGCAAAGTTCCAGCTCGAATGAAAGAGTTTTAATTTTGGAGCAATTTTCTTCCAAGCCCCTTTAACAAAAATAACCGTTGGTGTTGGTGTCGATGTCGATGTCGATGTCGATGTCGATGTCGATGTCGATGTCG